TGCAGGTTCAGCAACAACTTGAAACTCCCTTCAATATGCAAATGCGCCAAATGAAGGTCGTCATCAAAAAACTGGAACCATGGTCTTCTTTATTTTAGTATCTCATAACGCATTTACCTTTCTTTAGCACATTAATTACTGCACATAAAGCTGGATAGTCGATGGTATTGAAAATTGGCTTTTTTTATCGCAATGGAAAAAAAATTAACCGTTAGCCGTAAAATGGCCAAAATTTTAAACTGTGGTCCTAAGAACCATCACCCCATTGAGACACTCAGATATAGCATAGACTTAAGAACATAAATAAATGCAAAACAGTAATTATTTAAGGGGAATAAACGATGTGCACGACCGTATTATTTAAACAGTATGGACTCTAGGGGCCATCCGTTGAGCGGAAGGCACGAAGAGTGTTAAATCTCGAAGGCTTCTTTTCAATCCTCTACTACCCAGCTGCCACAACTTCCACAACAATATCCTGCTCAATTACCAAATGCATACGCGCTTGTTTTTTAATCTTGGAAGTTGATGTTGCGCTTTTGCTCTATTCGAGATAGCGGCGAATCTAACAGTGATCAACTCAAACTGACCTTAGCGACAACTTCCATAATCAGTTATCTCTCTCAAAAGTAGCCTTTACACCGATAAAAGGACAAAATATCTGAGCAAATGAAAAGTGACATTATAGTAACATCAAAAACAATATCGGACTTAAATTAGTCCTAAAGTAAAATCAGTAATCTAAACTAAATAACAAAGGAAAATATATGTAAATCTGATGTCTATTTTAAAACTTTGAGTGAGGCTCGCTTTCTATGATCAGCCTTTTCCCTATGAGAAAAACCTATCCAAGCTTTCTACAATCGATTAATCCAAAAAAACACCGTTTCATAAAAAACCATTCAATTAAGGAAAAAATAAATGAATAGAAATAAACAATGATAATTTTAAAAAAATATTGAGAAAGAAAACCTCCAAAAAAAATAGCCTAGATCTACCATCAAAATGGGAGAATAGCAAGACATTGAATTAGGACAAATATCTCAGGCGACTAGCCACAAATTAGTTGGTACCAGCTTTTACTTTTGAAATGTGAACGATTTTGTAGGGGCCATTTTTGTTTGTTTTATCTGTTTGTTACATGGTCCGTCCCTCCGAAAAAAGAACGTGTTGTTGTAAGTGTTGCAAGACTAACTAAAGTTTTTCTCCTACATTCATAGCTGGATGTGCTACCGACTCTTTTTTGAGAAATATCTCAATCCAAGTTCTCGTAGAGCTTGTTGTCGCAGAACTGCATGTTGATAAACCTCTGCCAGAAAAAAAAAGAAGGAATTAAAATAAAAGAAACCCAAAGCATTTGAATTACAGTTTCATTTGCTTTTCTTTTACCTGATGTTAATATTCCATTTCCTTCAAGTCTTTCCTAAGATTCTCAAAGGTTGGACGATTATCGGGATTCTCTTGCCAGCAATCTAGCATGATTTTGTACCTACAAATTAGGATTAAAGGTTTTATGAGATTGAAAGGTTCCCGATTTACTTATATTTTAAATATCTTTGTTTGCTGATGATGATCTATTGTAAGGGAGGATTTTATTTTTTGTATTGTGGAAAGTTTATCGATCATGAAGAGCGATAAAATAAATAAATAAATAAACCACGTGGATAACTCTAGGGATTAACAATAATTTAAATAATCGAGAGATTCCAAATTCATAATCAGTTACTTCATCATCCATATGTTGTGGCCTTGGCATTCTGTAGCCCACTCCAAGTAGTTCTGTCACGTTTTGATCATCAAAAAATGGATAAGGCGAGCCACCTTAAGTGCAGAAGTTAAACATTAAACTGATTTGATCAGTTTTCTTAACTTCTAATGTGACGATCTTGTAGTTTAAAACGAGGCGTTTACGACTTTGGCCAGTCATGTTTTTGACGTGGACAATGAATGTTAGGTTAGGAATTAAAGAGGAGTCTGTCTGCAACGTTCCTTTTTTTCCATCAGCCTCTCATAACCTCTCTGTCTTCTCTCTTGGTAAACACTTTAAAGGAAAACCTACCAGCGACAGTTTTCAAAGGAAAACTTTTTAATTCAATTTTCTTAATTTTGATCTTAGAGGGATGATTAAGAGCGATTTCTTTTCGAACAAACTCACATACCTATCGTGAATATTTCGTAAAGCACAATTCCAAAACTCCACCTGAATTAGAGAAAACAAACCAAATAAGAAATTGTTCATGAGTGATGATATGCTGACCCTGTCTTAACGCATACAAACAATATTACATTTATAGCCAGAATCAAGCTTTGAAAAGTTTGTGAAACGGTTTACTACTTACACATCACTTTTCGTGGTATATTGTCCATTCTCGAGTGCTTCAAAAGCCGTCCATTTCGTCTGCTCTCCTCGCTTTGATCCGTAGCAAATTAAAAGAAAATATGTGTGAAAAAATTTCGAAGGGTAAGGTTGTAAAATCATTTTGAGTAATTGTATGAAATTAGATTTCCAGATACCTTTGTTTCCCGGCCAACGTCTCGAGCCATTCCAAAGTTGGTTACCTTACATGTCTCTCCCTCACCAACCATGACATTGCGGGCTGCAAGGTCGCGGTGGATAATCTTTCAAACAGAATGCAAAGAATAACTTATCGTTACTTCACCCTTGAAGTCTATCCTAGAGTTAGGTTCTGCAAATTTGCAACAAAGCGGACTACTTGTTTTTTTTTTTTATTTCGTTTTTTAATTTTTTTTTTCAACATGAAACCTATCTTTTTTTCATTAATTGTTCACTCTCTTTTTAACTTTCTCAAGGGGTAAGATCACTTTTCATCGAGATACTCTAACTTCCAATTTATGATATCATAATTCCAGGGTAAATATAACCGGAAGATGTTATACATCACATTCTCGCTACACTTGGATGCAACAAATCAAGCAATTATGATCCAAATCTCACATTCGTGAATTGAATTATCGCTACGTTAAACTTCACCTCAGTAAACTTAAATATGCATCACTATGAACTGTACTTCACACATCATATGAATATGCTGGCAACCCACTTGCATAACTGTGACGTTCAGTCCTACAGTTTTGTTTTGTATCTGTTTTTTTGTGTATGTTTTTTAGGAAACCGCCGTATTAGAGAACCCCACACAGCAATAATTCCCTCTGTTAGGGCGTGAGCACTCATGTTATTGAGCTGTTTTCAGACGACAAAGGCAAAGTCTATTGGAGAAATTTTTGAACGGTTCGACTTATTTCTGAGTTCTTGAAAAGCGATAAAATTACATGCATACTTATTACTGACGGAATAAAGATTAAATGGTTTCTAAGGTAGGAAAAGAATCCGAAATCATTTGTTCCTTTTAGATTTTTTTTTTAAAGAAGATTACCTCCTTAGACGACAAATACTCCATACCATCAGCTATTTGCCAAGAAAACTTCATCAACTGCAGGGTAGTCAAACTTGTCTGTGGCTTAACATGCGGGTCTTTGTGGTAATCATCGTCGATATTTAGGCTCTTCTTTAAGTAACCCAAAAGATCTCCGTTAGGAATATACTCGAATATTACAAGCAGAGGATCTGCAAAAGATTTATAACGAAGCATTTATATAATACAATACATTAGTACGAAAACAAAAGGACTCTCCTTTAAAATGAATGATGCTCATCCGTTCAAATGTATTGGACAATACTAACTAGCTAAGTTAAAGAAATAAAGATTGTTAATAAGATGCCTATACTAAGAAACATAATTGTTACAAGGACTGGACAAAGAAAAAATCAGTCTGCCTCAATACCCTCGGCACCTAGATCAGAATGGAATACCAGCGAGCTCGTAGCCAACGAGGCCCCGTACAAGGTTCATGTTATCATCTTCAGTAGAGATCGATGCCGTGGAGATAACCAATGAAGAGAGCTTTGCGTATCGAAAGAGCAAAAAACGATGGGTAACTTTAAAGCTCCGCCATCATACTAAAATAATGTTAGATGAATCTGCGAAAATGGTGGGGCATGAAATTAAGATGATTTCAAAAGATAAAAGGTATTTTAATATCAAACATTTGAAAACATTATTTCCTTTCGTATGCCATGAGTTGGATCTAAAATTTTTTGTAATGTAACTGCTTCGTGATTCTATTTACCTGATACAGTGACGCATCCCAGCAGTTTGATAACGTGAGGATGAGGTTCGAGTTTTTTCAGAATTTCGAGCTCTGACAGACCTTTATAAAATTAAGCAAACATTTCAGAAACGTGATATGTGTTTAAATCTATGACAAAACATGCGCTGGTCTTGAGAACTAAACTAATTTTGTTCCAAGTAGAATACCTTTTAGCCTTTTTATGGTTACCGTCATTCTTCCGTTTATTCCTGGCAAGTTAGTCGCGGTTCCCCGTGCGACTAGACCGAACGCACCATCTCCAATGCCGTGCTCAATGTTTACATTTTCTCTTTCCACTTCCCATGAGCGGGTTCCCGGATTAAGTCCTGAGTCACGAGCCAAGACATTATCAGCATTTCTGTTTTCGAGTTCAAATGCCTCATTCTGTAATTTAAAAGAAAAGTGTGCCACACTCAGCAAGACCCTGACATCTCCCTCAAACAACTGTGGGATTACGAAGATGTTTTAGGACATAGTTTATGGATAATTTGTTGACTTTATACCGGCATTTGAATAGTCGTAAAGTCATAGATTCGTTTGTGAATTAGCAGCGAGAGGATCTTGCATGAGTAGCTAAAACAACTAATTTTAGCCAGGTACATAATAGACCTGCAGAATTCATTAAAATCTGCTCAAATTTGTTGGTACGATTCATGGCCAACTACCATTGCATGCCTACTCTTATTTGAGTACCTTTCAATAGATCACCCTTCTGGCACTCAGTTAAGATCAGTGCAATTGCTAAAACTTTGAAAAATCGTAGATATCTATTTTACGCGAATACATGCAGAATTCAGCTGACAACATTTTGGCTGATTATTTTACTTACAGTTTGAGGCCAGAATTGTTCCCGATGGACCGCATGCGGTCTAAAAGGAAATCAAACATCGGAGACAGCAGCAGTTAGAAACACTTCACAGATGGGGATCTTTTCTTGAAGCCAGAACTGACTGACAAAAAATCTTATCAATCGTGCTCAGCCGGCAACAAGCCGAAATTTGGATTCTCTTAAAAAAGTGACAATGCCAAGAGTCTAAAACCTACCCTTCCCACCCGCTGGCCTAGACATGAACCCCGCGCCGTTCTCATCGGCCAGGTTTTCGTCCTCTTCAAGCGAAACTCTTGCGGGCGGGTGTTTGAAAGCCCTCCCAAGCCCCCCGCTTTGGACTCAAAACAACCTTCCCACCATAAAATGTTTACCCACTAGTTGAGCTGTGGCAGGTCACGAACCAGGCTGTTAATCTTGTAAGATAGCAAGCATGTCTTTGCTAATCTAGGCAGGTGTACACCTATAAAAAGATATTATTTTATATATTGATGATCTGCTCACTTTAGACCAATGTAAATTTTGGGTGTATTTAGGAGCCAATATCGTGCCTGCAAAAAAGCTCCCTCAAGGCAATCGAACGAGGCTGATAATTATCTTCTGACTGTTGACTACTTCGCAACTTTTGGGTGTATTTAGGAGAAACCTCCAGTGCTATAAGAATGCAAGCTTGCAAAACCCCCCTCAGGGTCATTAAACAGACAGATAATTATGTGTCCGTGCTTCCTATTTACTAGCCAGATATTCAACTTAAGTTCTTACCGATCTCTGTTTTGACCTGAAAATTGCAAGAAAAAATTAGAGAAATAGGTCAGAGAACAGCTGCATCTATCAATTGCTGGTTATAATTTCCTTATTCCATCCATATGCCTGCTTTGAATGGACAATTTTTCTTGTACATAATCACCTGAAATCTATGTTTATTGAAATTAAAGGTGTCAACATAAATTCAAAGGAATTACTATGTCAGGAGATCTGAAATTCTACCGAGATGCACGTTTGCCTAGCCCTTCTGGTTTCTTCTTTTTTTCCTATCTCTTCTTCTCTCCTTCGTTTCTTTCTCAACCCCCTTTTTGGTTTCTTTCCTGTAAATTTAATTTAGCTCGGACGAGTCAGCATCCCTTCTGAGAATCTCCAACCCTAGGTATGTTCCATTAAAATTAGCACTTTTACTTACGTTTCCAGTATTTCCAAAGATAGGAAATTACCAATCGTACGAACACGAAAGCAAGGGCTACACCAACTGAGCCATAAATAGCATCTTTATTAACCTTCTTTGGTTCCGATGAAGCAGGTCTAGGAACAGGAACTAATTAGGAGTAAGTTTTAGACTCATTCCTCTTGAAGCAAAACCCTCATATCATCAGCTCGTTCGTTAAATAATCTAAAAGTCGATCAGTTCATCACAAACAACTAAGAGAGTCCATGGCGCAGAATGGCTTTTCTTTGAAGAACATATACTTACTTAATGGCATAAATTACTTATGTCGCACCAGAGCTCCCATTCGGATTCTCGATGGTTGTAGTTTGCCCTTACAAATGAAAATTTACTCAAAACTCCATCAAATGAACAAGCAGAGAATAGACATTAGAGTTCCGAGCAATCCCGATCGCTTGTTACGATCATATGATTATTTGGTAGTCAACCATGTATCTCATTTCCGCCGGACAGCTGCGCTGAATTTCGATTAAATGCCAGCAGTCTTTCCCCGAAACGCCTTTGTGGCCTTTGGAGTCAATGTTATGAGCTGTTTCAACGCAGTTTAAGCCTCTTTTCCTCTTTCCAAACCTTAATGAGCAGAAGCGGCTAGTTTTATTTGTTCTCGAACGTCAAACACCATTTCTGTCTTCGCCACTGCTAATTGTCGTAGGCTTTGCTGCGTGACTTGACGAACAAATCACTAGAATAAATCTTTCGTTCTCGCGCTTTTGATACTGAAAGATAGTTCATTGATTGCAAGACAAACTATTTGTTCATCCATTACACCATGTTGAGAGTAACTAACATGTTAAGCGATTCTGCACGGTAAAAAAACGAACGCGATAAATACTTTAGGTCGGCCGGCTGTACGCGTTATGTATCAGCCAATTGTTAGCAGAGAACACTTGCAAATGTTTGCTGTTTTGCATACTTTGAAAAGGCAGCGACCTACCATTGTTTCTTTTTACCCTGTGCTGGATAATATATTTCAAATTTTACAAGGTAATCCCGTCCCCTTTTTTCTTTCGTTTTTGATTTGTATTCATATAAAAGAAATATCTTCGTTATCGTGTAGGGCAACTGTCTAAAAAATTTTTTACTTTTCGTTATAATGGCCAAATATTATAAGTATATCACTTTTTTGATGTTATTCTTCTTGCATATTATATTTTACCTTTTGGTGTGCAAATCACGCCGGCATCTTGCTTATGCGTGCAGTCCGTCGTTCTCCATCCGTTATGTTTACAATGAGTAATTGCAGTCTCACTTCCAGTACAGTTTACGTTATCCATCCAAATCACGCCTGAACCTTCTCCAAACGCTGCAGAATGGAGAGCCTCTGATGCTCGTTCGAATCCCAGTTGTCGACAAACTACATTGGCTTCTGGCATTTCCCAGTGATCATGGCATATTGTTCCCCAGACTCCATCGTAAAATATTTCAACTCGACCTTGATATGAAGTAGCTCCCCCAACTAGCCTGACTGTCACGTGAACGAAATCAAGAGATAAATGATTTAAGTTAGACCTTTTGTGTTCCTGTTCGCCTCATGCTTAACAGATTGCTAGTTTTCTTGCTAAGGCAAAGAAATATTTGTCAAAAACACATTTGCTGAGAAGTATGATGCTGAAAGGGTTTTGTGTGGGGAAGGTGGGGTTGGGTTCGTCTAATACCTAAAGGATTAAAAATCCATCAATTGCATCCTTTTTGCGGGAAATAGGGTTACAAGATGTCTTTTATTTACCTTTGGGAGTTTTGCATATCACACCGGCTAGTTGTCTACTGTGACAGTAATGTCTTTTCCACCCGTCGTGTCTACAAAAAAACAGTGATTTTTCATTGCCAGCACAGTGCACATTGTTCATCCATACATTCCCATGTTTGTTTAAGGGCTGGCTGTAAGTTGAAAGAGCGTTTGAGTATCCAAGCTCGCCACAAATAACATCAGCGTCGTTTTGGTCCCAATGCTGATCACAGATCCAGCCCCATGTTTTGTTGTGGTAAACTTGAACGAGGCCGTCACTGGCTAAAACGCCATTACCCAAACGGACTGTGTGAAAACGCATGAAATCAAATAAATCTTTACGTTATCTACACTGGCTCAGAAACAGCATCTCGCATGTGGCGTCGTCGGTTTTGGTCAATTACCACTTTTCTTTGTTATTTAAAAAACCATATCTATTTTTATCTTACTTCATTTATTTTCTAGTACTTTACTTAACCCTCACCTTTTGGAGTACAAATGACACTGGCATCTTGAGTGTGGTCGCAATCTGACACCCTCCATCCTTTATGTTTACACCTAGATATTGCTTCCTCCTTCCCCGTACAATTGACATTATCCATCCATATGATTCCTGACCCTTGCCCGTAAGCAGCATTACGAAGAGCTAGTAGACCTCCATCGAATCCCAGCTGACGACAGATAACATTAGCTTCTGATAGTTCCCAGAAGTCGTGACAAATCGTTCCCCAGGCCCCATTGAAGAAAATTTCGACACGGCCCTTGTATGTCGCAGTTCCACCGACTAAACGCACTGGTGATGGGATATAAAACGTTCACCATAAATCTCACAGTTACTCAATATGACAGTTACTCAATATGACAGTTAAGAGCGATTGTTACTAACTGTCAAACATTTGGTGGCAACAGCCGAAAAATCATTTTCGCTCATATTTCAAAGTTAAGTAGCTAGGTTTCAATGGGAAATAAATCACAGCATTTTTCATTTGGCTGAATATAAATATATTTTCGAGGAAATCGATCATAACTGAATTCCCCCAGAATGCCGCTTTTGAAGCCCAAAGATTTAGGTGAATCTCGGAGCGCCGCGTCAAAAATTGAAAAAACGATAAAAAGT